AATTGACTTCATGTCAATGATGGTGGTGATTCAAGGTCAAATAAATAATTCGATATTTATCACAAACCAGTAACACAAATGTTTACATGATGTATAAAACCAACAGACAGCCTAGTGACATGTGACCACATGTCACCTTTATTTATTAAATATAAACTGGAGGGAAGATAATATTAGATACGGATCCAGTCACTAAAGTAGAATGACACACATACAGAGAATGACTCATACAACCGATGCACTTTAGTAAAATAGAAACTAACTATCACAGTGTTGTTAACTTGTTATGATGACTCATGCATCGCCATGACACAGACAGTCAAAACAGAAAAACAGGCTGTATACGTTTACTAATGGGATGTATCAGGTATGATTACTATTATTATTGTTAAACATAGAAAGATGTCTAGTAGAGACATGGTCGAAATGAAGGTCATTTTCAGTATAGGACTAGTTTTTGGAGGACTGTGATACGCTAAAATATGTCTGGTATATGTGAGCTGAACAAAGTAGCATTTCAAAATTATGTAAAGTTTAAAAAAAGTTTTGTTAAGGAATAGAAAAGAAGAATAATTCAGTAATAATCGGGCTTATCAGAAGAAAGACAAATGAATAGTCAAAGTGTTGGTTTGGCAGGGGTTTGATTGATTACAGGTATGATCACGAGGTGGCATCGCAGTTAGAGAACCACAGGAAGACCTGAGGGTACTGGACAGCTGTTTCGTCCTAGTGCTTGGGACTCTTCATCAGTGCGCACCCAGTGAACTTCGAAACCAGGACCTTCCGATTATATGGTGAGCACGCAGATGATTACAGCCACTGGAACCCGATTCAATGACCAAGTCAGGTAAAAGACCACTTACTCGTCTATTAAATTAGCTGGAGGTCGAGCTATATATATCCCGGATCGGTAGAGGTTGAAATCCATGGGCTATTAGATCCAGTCCCAGTAGCTGAATGGTCTACGAAGTCGCCATGTAACCCAAAAGGTCCTAGGTTCCTACTGATGAGGGGTCCCAAACTAGAACGAAACAGCTGTCCAGTATTCCCAGGCTCCATAACTGATGTCAACACGTGACCAAACCTGTAAGTACATAGCCATCTTCCATGCCCTTATCAAAATAATGATGGCCATGTTACCGTTAATTATGCCTCGATTTCACTCTAGTCCAGAGATCGGAAATACTGAAGCCCAAAAAAGCTAAAACTGTCTAGACTTGGACAAATACTGGATACTACTACTCTACGTTTCCAGAATGTGAAGCATACATTTATTTTATTTCTCCGACAAGCAATAAACTACGGCTCTATAGAATTAGCAAGCCGCCTTTCTGCATCATTCAAGAATACAACATAACGCATTATGATTGCACTGAGAATGCAAAACACATCAAAGAGATCCTCTTTGGATGTATTAAATTTTACAATTTGAGAGATTTAAGGTCCACACATAAACACAGACAAACAAGTCGAAGAGTCAAGAATAAAAATAAAACACGTAGTTTCAGAGAAGAGGCTCTTTCCTACGAATTCATTTTCCGCCTTAGGTGTACAATCACATTATTTACAGTTACTTTTTTCATGAAAAAGGGTAATATAACAAAAGTGATGAGTTGTACTCAGAATACACACACAAACAAAGGAAAATATTCAGTGCTGTACGAGTTCTAAGGAGATACAAGAGTTGTAATGGAGTTAGAAAAACAAACAAACAAGAATCAAATCAGTAGAGGTCAACCAGAGCAAACAAAAAGACGCCTCTTTCAATGGTAATCTACAAAGTGTGAAGAACAATCTGCCAAAAGCAATACGCTTTCGTCTCCTTTGCACTATTCTGTCTCTGTGTGTCTGGATTCAACATAGAACTTGGCACCGAAGTGCACCAGTTCGAGTTGCCACGTTCCAAGTAGCACACAAAGGTAGACAAGAAAATGAGTGAAGAGGATCAATAGAGTTTTGACAGGTATAAGAGTGAAACAGAATGAGTAATGGTAAAAAGGAATATGAAAGATTACAGAGACTGAATACATCTGCGTAAGCCATTGACAACGACTTTGAGCCATATCACCTGTTGTCTCCAGCCATTGATTCTTAGAGTCCCGAGGGTGGGCCCCAACCCGGAAGTCTGCATCTCCCTACCTACCTGACTCAGTTTAAGTGTCAGGGATTTGATGGATTGATGAGGCCATGTTTTTGTTTGGCCACCACTTACTCTTTTCCAACCTGCACTTATATCAGCTAGTAATGCCCGTCCGTCGGGGGAGGCGATGGTTAGGCATGCACAGCACGTGACCTAGCCATCTCAATCTATGTAACTTTATAGCCTCGTCGATTGATTTTCCCTCTCTGCCCAACACTCTACGCCTAACGTCAACATTACTTACCTTATTATACCACCTAACGTGAGAAAGAGATCGTAGACATTAAAGCTAGACTATTAAAGCTTTAGCTATTCACAGTTAGAGAAACCTGAGATATACGTACAAAAGGAAATTATTCAACCACTTTTAATAATACCATGGTAACAACCTTGTTGATTTATACTGACTTAATTTTTGTTTGACCTTCGTAACTCTTGTATTTCTTTGGAATTCGTATGGCATTGCATGCTTTCCTTCGTTTGTAAGTGCACATCCTGATCACAACTCATTCACTAAGTGATTCGTCTGATGACTACATATATCTCTCATACACTTCTTATTCAACTCCTCCTATTATATATCGACTAATACTAACAGCAACTATGAATATGACAACTCATCACTTATGTTGTGATGGTTGTGTGATACAGACAATATGTGCCAACGGAATATTATTCTCACATATTCACACAGTTCAATGCAGCATTAGCAACAGAATACAATCTATCTATTTGAACATTCCACTTGATGTTACAGACAGAATACATTTCCCACGGTTATGCATTGACAAAAGAATACTATGTATATTTGATCATTCTATTTCATGTCGCTTGATTTAAACCGAAATCACACGGTGGCTCAGTGATTGGTTAAAGAATATAAACTGAACTATATATATATATATATATATATATATATATATATATAAACAGCGGTTCGACCAATGAAGAATATACCTTGGCTTCCGTGTCTTGCCTTCTCTTGTTACAATGTGACTACCCTATTTCATGAGAAACTGTATTTAAATGCGACTGCATAGATAAAGAAAAAGAGTTCGCCGATAAGAGCCTCCTCTCTGAACTACGTGTTTTGTTTCCATCAGTGTCTGGGTGGCGGATTACTGACTGTCTGATTGACTAGTTTCAACATAGAACTTTGCACCGATGTGCAGCAGTTCGAGTCGCCAAACTTCATGTAACACACAAAGCATGAGAAGAAAGTAAAAGGGAATGCAAAATAGAGACAGTAAAGAGAAGGTGTGAGACAAAAAGAATATTAATGATGAGGAACAATATAGTTTCATGGGGTATCAAAAGTCACAAGAAGTGGACGCATCTGAGCCAGCCGTTGAGAACGATTTTGAGTCACGTTGTGGTGACAGCTGGTCGCTAGCCAGATTGCTAGACAGTAATTTACGTCAATGTTTATGTCCCAAATATTAGTCATGTGAAAACAAGAACAAAGACTGATAGCAGACTTTGCGTAGGCGGAAACAATTAGCAGATAGATGATCTGACATTCAAGAAACAGTCACAAAGAGATGAAAGATTAACTTTCAGTGAGAAACAACCAATCAGAAGACTGTGTTTGTCTGCCAACAATAATGTATAATAATGTACATGAAAATATATAAATGTGTTGATTTCCTTAATAAGCGATCTGTTGCCTGGCCCTTGTTTTCTGTTGTTACAATTTCACCGATCGTCTTCCACTGTCATAGGTTTTTACAGACCCGAGGACCCCAACCAGGAATTCAGTGTACACCTCCCTATGTGACTGGCTAGCTTAAACTAACTGTTGTGGATTTCACTGACTGATGTTTTGGTTTGACCACCACTGGCTATTTCCCAACCTCACCCTATGTATGTCAGCTAACATTGCCCGTCGAGGAAGGCGATGACTAAGCATACGTAACACATGTCCCAATTATCTCAATCTGTGTAACTTCACAACCTCATCGATTGACCTCCCTTCCCACGTACCTAACTAGCACTCGACCGACACCTAACCTCAATATAGCTTACCATATTAAACCACTTCACACGGGGGATAGAACACAGACACCTATGATCAAAGACAGCTAGTTGGCCTCTTCATGTCGTCCACTTTCAATGGTCATGTCTCGCTCACAGCCATAAAGGAGGACAGGGAGGAATGCTGAGCAGTTTACACGCCCTTTGGTCGACAGCCAGCCGGATATCACATCTACTAAGCCAGAGATGGCGTAAACTGGCATATGCTAAACGAGCCTTCTGTATCCATGATAAGATTTCGTCAGCGATCAACTCGTTGGGGTTGGCTGATGCAACTTCACAGATAAATGAAGTGATCAACGCGCTCCACCACTTCATTCCTTCCTATCTCTAATCTAAGAGTCAATGAAGTCCAGTCATGTAGCCCCATCATCTTACATTTGATGGGAGCGAATCGCACACCAAACATTCGAAGACTGCTTTCAGAAGATGTATTTTGTCAGCATCTTCACCTAGAAAAACTATATCATCAGCACATTCTAAGTCAACGAGATTATCCTCTGGTAACAAGTCAATCCCTGAGTCGCTAAGACACTTAGGGTTAAGTCCATTAGTATATCTATGATGAAATTGAATAGAAATTGGGATAGTCGGCATCCCTGACGGACACCACTAGTTGTCACTACCTCAGATGACAGATGGGGGATTATTCATATGAATTAAAAAGAAAGCTTTTCAACACCAAATGATGGACCAAAACCAATGAATTCTACTCCACACTTCAATAAATTACTAAAAATAAATGAATAAATAAATGCATAAAATGCTGATCACTTTAACTAGAGTGCTAAAAAGTAAAATTCGAAAGACAATGAGAACTACCTACCAGTCAGAGATGTAACATTCCAATTTTTTATAGAACTTTTTAATTTGTTTCAGCTTTCGATTATGTGAACCAGAATACCTCCATTGTTCAGAGATTAAAGCAGCTGAATTTCTCAGTGTCATATTTGAGGCAGCCACTCCTTGATCATCAGTCTATAATAACAATAGAAGTATATGTAGAAAAAAAATGTTTTTCAGAAAGAATATTGGAATTACTACTGAATTACAAAATTTCACTATTTTATTAAATGACATTTGCAGCAGCACATTACTTGTGAAGATCCACTGTTCAGCTTCAAATGTAAACACACCTGAAGTGTACTACTAACGAGATTTATCAGCAGTATATATAGACACACATTTGTACGAAGCAGACGAAATTGAAAACAACATTCTAGGTAGTTAGTGGCTACAGAAGTAGAAGTGTTTATTTCTCAATACTGAGTTTCGCTTACGTTGTGGTCAGGAAATAATTTCAAGGTTCAACTTTGAAAAAATCAACAACCAATCAGAACGGTTCATTATCTATCCGTTGACCTAGCCGAACAGAAATGTGTGTTTTTCCTCAACAGAAAAGTCCGTTAACAGGTCACTTGTCTTCTCCCATTACAAATATATATGTTGTGAGACAGAAAATCCTCCTACCATACTTACTTATGAAATTGTGCTTTATGGATCTAGACGCTGGACTTTTAACCAATCAGCCCTATGAAAGTACGGGTGCACGTAGGTGTAAAATCACCAAATTCAGATGCGTAGCTTATTATTATGTGTAAAGACATGCATAGAACTGCTAGGCAACCGGCTTTTATGCGCTAAATACTACAGCAATACCTCTTGGACACGAGAAATGCATATAGATGTGATCTGAAGAAGATCTAATCACATTGAAATTATAAATAATGAAGTCAAGGAGGCAAAGATTATTAAAGTCTCAGTGTATACCAGACATTATGGTTATAATCTTTCTTATAAAAAATCTTGTCTGTTGGATAGTGACTAGCAGTGTTGAAAATTGCTGTTATATTATCACCTTTAAAATCAAGTTGAATGTTGTTGGCGTTATTTTTTTCCCACTGCGAAAATATTACAGCAATTGTCAACAGAAGATTGAGGACATCACAAGGCAGAGCTTGTCCTACAACTAAGCTGATTCCTGTCCATCGAGCGACTTGCTTTGGTGAAATCGAAAATCGCCAGATATCCCTCTCATGTTAACTCCAACTGTCTGCAACAAATTTACATGTATCTGCGGGAGCAGTTACATTGGAAGAACAGAAAAAGAACTGCATACTTCCGATTTTCTGAACATGTACCAAAAAGCCTATGTCTAAAGGGAACAAATGCTTTAAACAGTGTCATTGGCAGGCATCTCCTTGACACGGGTCATGTGGTGGACGTCGCAAGGTCGTTCAAAATTATCAATGGGTAAAAGAGTTCAATTCTCTTCAAGTTTGCCGACTGAAACCCAATTTATGTGTTCCGAAAGAAGCGGTTATCAGTCTTCCTTTACCCTGGTAACTGGATATTTTCACCTCTCCTTCATCTGATTACGTAGTGGCGAAAGTTTCCATTATGTATGATTATTATTGTTTGGGATAAAGTGATTATTATTACTATTATTAGCATTGTATGCATATAATAACTGATTGATTTCTGTTTAAAAATGAATTCTGTTGAAGTATGTTAAAATTGTTTCTGTAGATAAACTTAATTATGATTTTGGGCTGTAAGCAGCTGATGAGAAGCCAACGAAATAATCAATGATGAAGCCATTTAATTTTCTGCAAAAATTGCTGTTGTTCTTGCTTTATTCAAATTCATCAAGGGCAATAAATGTATGATTTTAGCTCGACTGACACCAACCGATGTTCATATCCATGAAGAGTATTTGTCCTCACTCCCAACCGGATGGCGTCCCCACTGGTCACGAATTCTCACTAGAATCAACTCCAATCAATTTCGTCCTGTAACCACCAGTCACTGGTGAGCATTTGCAAGAGTTAATACTGCCGATAAGTCACAAACACTAGAATGAAACAGCTGTCCAGTACTCCCAACTGATTTTCAATGGTTCTCTAACTGGTATCAACCCGTGTGGTCAGAAACCTGAAACGAATCAAATCCCTACAAACTAGGTCCTGGGAACTACTAAATTCATTAAGGTACACACTGCTGCTATTGATGTTTCACTTTTAAAGGTAAAGAAACACAAAACATTAAGTGAACTGTAACACAGATACACAGAAGTGTTCCACATCGTGTTACAGGAGTTCATTATGAGCTGACATTGGTTACAGAACCATTGGAAAACAAGCTGGGAGTACTGCACAGCTGTTTCGTCTGCCTAGTTTGATACTCTTCAGCAGCACGTACCCACCGACAGGGTTCGAACTCAAGACTTTCTGGTTACAAGGCGAGCTAACTCGTAGACCATTCATCAGCCACTGGAACCTGATCCAATGGCCAGTCCATGAATTCCAACTTCTGACAATTTAAAACATAGCGCACCGCTAGCCAGTGTCTTCGGCGAGTATTTGTCATCACACCCTACTGGTCACAACTTCCCACTAGAACCCAAGTAACTACCTAACTACTTCCACTTAAACAAAAATATGACACAGCAAACAGTAGAAACTTGTAAGGGTGTGTGTGTATGTATGGCTTAGGTGTTGACTTTCATACATTCAGTCAATTTAATTTAATTCATTTACACTGAGTTTTGAACAAATGCCAAGTTCCCACACGTCAATTGTAAGTCACAGACTAACATCTATTACCCTAGGTGTAAAACAAAACATGTGCTGACTAGTTTGTGTATATGCCATATACCACACTTGTCAAATAAGCCTTATCGAGAGAGAGAAAGATGTGACTAGATCTATACTCAATAACAGTAGTTTAGTGATGAACAAAACACCTTAAAAGATAGGGCTAATTGAAGAATAAAGTATAAACACAATAAATGGTTAGGCAGTGATGGGTCCAGGCAAATCTTTAAAAAAAATACTAAGTACGTTAATCCGACTGTCATTAACATGTATTCTTTTAAATTATTACCATATCTATCTTTGTGACAAAGGAAAGTAAAATAATATATAGCCTAAAGAATGCATGAATTCAGTTGTTCACATAAAAGAATACCTAAATGTCACTGTATGACTTGATTTTCAGGTTTTTCTTTTTTTTCTCTCTCAAGAGTCAGTTTGTAGGAATTTCAATTGTTTCAAGTTGGTGATGACTACGGATTGACATCGGTTAGAGCAAAGCACTGAAAACCAGTTGGAAGCGTACTGGATAGTTGTTTCGACCTAGTTTGGGACTCTTCAACAACATGCACCGTGAGGCCGCCTGGGATGGAGACGAGGAACTTTAGATGACGAGGGAAATACGTTAACGAAGCAGCTTACCAGCAGTCCCAACTGGTTTTCAATGGTTCTCTTGATCTGATATCTATCCATGGTTGAACTCTGAAACAAATCAAATCCCTACAAAGTAACTCTTGAAAATTAATCTGATGCTCGTTAGTGAGTGACTGACGAAGTTGATTGGAGCTCTTTCTAGTGAATAGTCATGACCAGTGGGGTCAATCCGTTTGTAAGTGAGGACAAACACTCGCCGAGGACAATGACTGGTAAAAGTTAGAATTTCTGGGCCACTAGATCACTTTCCAGTGGCTGAATGGTCTACGAGCTTGCCTTGTAATCAGAAGGTCATGGGTTTGAAACCCGGTGGGTGGATGCGTACATTTCATATATAAATGGATTACAAGTGTGATCAGGAGGAGCATGGAGACAAACTTAAAATAACCGATTTTATAACTGAAAAAATTGGGATGAATTGAATGAAGACAAAGAGAGGAAATTACACACACAGCGAACAAAACAAACAAACTGAAAGCTAAGGGAACATATCGAACTAGGTCCACGTAGGTTGTATAGGCTGAACTAGTTTCTTTCGAAAACACAACTCCGGCTTTTCGATGCATATGGTAAGAGCTTCTGCAATACAAAGAAGTCGGAAACACACTGCTTTTTGTAGATTTTTGTTTACTTTATCAATGACTCTGAATGACGAGTCAGTTGAGATGCTGTAGAGATGAATGTTTAGAAGAAGAGCTCCTATTTCTCAGAAGCAGTCTGGTTCAAAATGGATACCCACTGCGTTTCGTGGAGAAGAACATGAAACCAAAGCCAACAAGAGAAGAATGCACTTCAGGGCCAAAGAAAATACTTCATTTGAATCTGGAATTCAGGGGAGACCTAGCAGCAGATATCCTTAAAAGGAGAATCTCCAATCCCCTGAAGACTTTTCCTGCAGCAACCCTAAGGGGGATATTTTCTCTAGCCGCCCACCACTTCGGAGCAACAGTAAGGATAGACTTCTGCATATGATCACCAATGTGCATATATCAGTTCACCTGCTCGTGCGGAGCTAGATACATATGTCATTCTATCCGGATCTTATTAAAACATGTTAGAGAACATCATCCAGCTTGGCTGCAAAGAGGAGGCACTGGTTCAATCAGAAGCGCCATAATTGAACACCTCGTCAATATCTGTCACAGCATCTAAACTGGCTGACCATTCAGAATCATTTACAAACTAAACAAAAATCTACCAAAGGCAGTGTGTTTCCGACTTCTTTGTGCTGCAGAAGCTCTTACCATATGCATCGAAAAGCCGGAGCTGTGTATTCAAGAGAAACTAGTCCAGCTTTTACAACTACCATGGACCCATTCCCGTGTTTTCATTTGGCGTGTCTCAGTATCACATTTATCACTTCTGCCCTGTGACACGGCAGCAAGAAGCGCGGTTGTTGTTAATCCGGGCCCCGACCGATCCGGCATGATATTTTGTGATTTTGTTTGAGTCATGGCATTGGATTGGGTAGCTGCTTTTTGTCTAACCGCTATCCAAACAACCTACAGGAACATAAGTTCAATCCAGTATAGCTTGTCGGGTCATTGCGGTGTTCAAGCCCGACCACCACGTCAAGGTAGCAGCTTTCGGTCGGTGTGTTCCCTTAGCCTTCCGTTTTTTTGTATTGTTCGTTGTGTGTGTAATTTTCTTTGTCTTCGTTCAAGTCATCCCATTTTTGAGTTACAAAATTAGTTATTTTAAGTTTGTTTCCATGCTCCTCCATAATACGTAAATAAGCATTCACTCACTCGGTGGGAAAAAACATCATAGGAACAATGTTGAAAAACATAATGAACGTGATAAAATAATGATAACTGAACAATGCACTACGTAAAAATCATCACAAACAATTCTGAAGTTTGAAATAATGAAGAAAATTTGCGTCGGCCGGGGATCGAGCCCCGGAACATGAACATGGTGATCGGCAAGCGTCCAAGCCGCTATGCCACCGACGCACGATGAGTCATGGGTATGGCGACAGAATCCTCACCAACCCCGCCTTAATTAGTCGTCTGGGGATCGATATCCGACCGACGACACACTACAAAACCTCGGTTAGCCCATAATAATAAATCCCAAGTAAAGAGGAAAGGTAGGTTGTGTGTGTGAGGTTAGTGATCCCACTGCACACCCGTTAAAATAAAGGAATAACACCACTTACTGTGCTACTAAACTTCGAAACTCAGAAGCCTGAAGTTTTGTGTTTTCCCCCACTCCGAATGTGCAAAGGAATACAAAAAAAAGTAATAAAGCAAACAAACAAACAGGAAAATTTAAATTTAACTAACCACAGTAATATAGTATTTTTTCCCATCAATAATTACAGAAGAATATGAATCAATTGGACTTATATTTTCAACTTTATGAATCTTGCTAGGACAACTACGACGTATTTTTGAACTGTCATTTTTCTGAAGAAGAGAAAAAAAAGTGTTTTGCTTCTTTTTAACATCTTCTACTTCTTTAAGTACATAAAACGGAACAATAATTACTTGAGTAGGCTAACACATTTTCTGAATGTGGCAACGAAAAGTGACATGTGACAAAAATGCCTTTTACCTTTTGGATTGGATTGTCAATAGAGTAATTCAGCCACATTGTATAAGGTGTATTCATTTAGGTCTTCTAATCTTTTCTTAACCTAACTCTAACCTTAACTTCAAACCAATCCTAACCTGTTGTCAAGGCTTAAATCTCGATATTAGATGGTTGGAGGCAATCGGCAGGAAGCCTTGAACCTAGGTTTCGTGCTAGTTGGCACTCGTCAGTCAAAAAAGGCTTAAATCTTTCCCAAACCTGACCTAAGAGCTAAAACTTACTAGTTATCGCGTCTAGTATCATAACTCTTCGCGTTAAGCATATTTCATTCATGATGATCGTGTTATTTGCTCGGTTTTACTAACTTGCTCAGTAAGCGTACCGCCCCAAGGTCACTCACTCGCTAGTTACCTCCATCACTTATCTGACCAGGAAGCACAGTTTCAACCACAGGCAGTCGGAACGGATGAAGATGTCAAAGTCAGAGTCGGAAAGGTTAGATACGCCTTCATCAATCTGAAACCAGTTTGAAAATATTCTGCACTCAGCATAAGGAACGAGATTCGCATTTTCAACACCAATGTGAAGTCGGTTCTTCTATACGCGTCAGAAACTTGGCCAGCGTGTCACTAAGAGGATTTCCAACAGCCTGTTGCAGACTTTCATCAACAGCTACCCACTTCGCTGGCTCCATACTGAAGACCAAATGGCTAGAAAGAATAAGCAACAAGAAACTATGGGAACAAACCAACAGGCGAGAGCCGGTTGCTCAACAAATATGTAGGAGAAAGTGTAGAGAGATGGATTGGGCATACATTGAGGCCGCTGAATGACATCGCACGCAATGCAGGCCATTGCTCGAGTGGAATCCAAAGGGGAAGCTGTGACGAGTGGTTCGTCGGTGCGAGGATGATATGGAGGATATCGTGTGACGAAGAGATGAGAGAGTTTGGTCAATAGTGGACCCAGCTGTAGAGGACGGCAGAAAACAGAGCAAAGTGGAGATGTGTTGTTGAAGCCAGCCCTATGTTCCACTCAGAATGCAAGGGAATAATGTTTATATATATAGAATAAATCCGTTGCTATTTTGTTATGTCACCACCTGCTAATTACTCTAACGGTAATGAACTCGATTGGTGCACTGGTGTACCTATTTGTCCGTTGTACCTTCTGATTCCCTGAGCCACGCAAATATCAAAATACAAAGGCCGGCCTGTGACTGTAAGATATTCTATTATTACTAGACTATATGGTTTGAGAGACAACACATGGTATATTTATACATTTTCTTAACCATAATAAAGTCAGCTCACAGCCATGGGAATGTATTGTTCTTATTGGTTGGAAATATATCTATCCTGATAGGTTGATGACGATCTGACAAAGACCAAGGTGAGACAAAAGACGATGAGTTGATCACGCGCTAAATCACAATAATGCGTGAGAAATGATACATTCACACAGTTACTCCATCACATGTGATAAATCACACGATTCGTAAGAAACGCTGATACACTATTTTATGCTGGGTCCAATCAGATAGCCTTCTCATTTCTTCCACTTCCCATGGCCATATCCAACAGACATAGACAGGAGCCTTAAACCAAGGGGAAAACAACTGTTCAGACCTTCTGGATCTTCAATACTTCTTAAAGATGATTTATGCGGAACTAAATCAGTCAAATGCTAACACAACACTAACAAAAGGGGGGTAAAATATCTTATTTGATGTATCAATAATAATACATTAGTATTTGCAATTATTAGTGTTCTCTGAGCTGGTTGGTTCGGTTGCGGAGCTTCCGTAGTCCTTCTGGACAACATCTTCAGCGCAATATTAAGCATAAAGTGAAATGATTTAAATTTCTTCATGAGTGATATAATTGCGTCTCCTGTTAACCATCTTTACATTTGTATTGACCATTTTCTATTGACTTGGATTTTAAACTTTCTGGTCACCTGATTTACTTTTTATTAGTTGGTATATTTGGTTTATATTAACGTGTTTGTTAATTGCATTTTCGTTTGAGTACTAGGCTTCTAGGAATTCCCTGGCACTTTTGGTGTTTCCTCTGTCTAAGAGTTCGACATTATCTCAATCATCAAATTGATGTCCATAATTATCTACATGCATTGACACGAAAGAATATATATTTTGTCTTTTTACAGTCAATTTGTGTTCTTCGATTCGGATACGAAGGCGACGCCCACTCTGACCGATGTAATGTCTGTTACAGTTCATACAGTTGATTTTGTAAATGGCATTAATTTTATCTCCTTTTTCTGTTGAATCTTTCGGTTTGCATAATATCAAACCGTTTGATATAGATATAGCACACAAGCCAGTCAAATCGCTTAATTCGATATTATGCAAACCGAAAGATTCAACAGAAAAAGGAGATAAAATTAATGCCATTTACAAAATCAACTGTATGAACTGTAACAGACATTACATCGGTCAGAGTGGGCGTCGCCTTCGTATCCGAATCGAAGAACACAAATTGACTGTAAAAAGACAAAATATATATTCTTTCGTGTCAATGCATGTAGATAATTATGGACATCAATTTGATGATTGAGATAATGTCGAACTCTTAGACAGAGGAAACACCAAAAGTGCCAGGGAATTCCTAGAAGCCTAGTACTCAAACGAAAATGCAATTAACAAACACGTTAATATAAACCAAATATACCAACTAATAAAAAGTAAATCAGGTGACCAGAAAGTTTAAAATCCAAGTCAATAGAAAATGGTCAATACAAATGTAAAGATGGTTAACAGGAGACGCAATTATATCACTCATGAAGAAATTTAAATCATTTCACTTTATGCTTAATATTGCGCTGAAGATGTTGTCCAGAAGGACTACGGAAGCTCCGCAACCAAACCAACCAGCTCAGAGAGCAGTATTAATAGCAAATCATCCACCTGAGCTACAAATCTTCTATATTATTTCAAAATATATTAGTATACTATGTTTAATATTCTCTCAATAAAATAGTATAGTAATGTTGAAAAAAAACAACCTACTAAGCGAATATTTGATTGAGAGGATAAATTCAGAGATAATCTTCGAGAACTGTTGTCGGTAGAATCGAATTCTGAAACTATCTCCGATTGTTTACAATCTGATTTCGCATCTCTTGCCGGGCATGAACAACAACGAACAGAGATTTTACTCAGACCAAATATTTTATAGGTCTCCTCTCCAGCAGGGGATTCACTAAAAACGTCAAAAGATAGGATAGCAGGTTAAAGAAAAGAGAGTTATCAATTGTTGTAGGTTAGTAGTATTTTAGTGGGTCATAGTAAGGCTAATTAAAGCACATATATTTTGCTGAAATAGAATGCAGTGGGGAATCCGTGTTTTTCAAGTACTGATTTTTGTAGGGATTTCTGTTTGATTGGTTGGAGGGTTTCATCATGAACTGACATCAGTTAGAGAACCGTTGGAAAACAAGCTGGGAGTACTGGACAGCTGTTTCGTCAGCTTAGTTTGGGACTCTTCATCAGTACGCACCCACCCATTGGGGTTCAAACCTAGGACCTTCTGGTTACAAGCCAAGCGAGCTCGTAGATCACTAAGCCCCTGGGACCCGACCCAATGGCCAGTTCATGAATTCTAACTTCTACCAATTCATGACATGGCGCGACCACTTCTTCGATAAGTAACTATCCTCATCGTCAACCTGCTGCACCCTACTGGTCACAGCCTCCCACTAGAACCCCACGTAACAGCCTCGGCTGAATAGGGTCAGTCGCTAGTGAGCATCAGATCAATTTTTCAAGTATTGGTTTTCGTAGGGATTTAGTTTGACTGGTCGGAGGATTTCATCATGAGCTGACATCAGTTTGTTTGTTGATGTGCAGACTTTTCTTTAACGTTGTAGCTTTTATTATAGATGGATGAGAAAGTCAGACTAGAATATTTCTGTCACAGTCTCGTTGGTAACGATGGCCAGTTAACTCCTTCTTGAATTTAAAGTGAAAATAAACAGAGTATAGACCTTACCTTGATTGAAAACTAGTCAGTAAGCTAGTGTAATGCGTCTATTCCTTTTTGTTTTGGTACAGACTGAATTCTATTGTCAGTCAAGTTTGCACTGTGGTTACCATGCCACTAGGTGGCTCGCCATCACGGTGCACTGTAAGTTGTTAATATTAGATGACTGGAGGCAGTCGGAAGGAAACCTTGCTTGACCTAGATGTCTACGATCTCTTTCTTACGTTAGGTGGTATAATAAGGTAAGTAATGTTGACGTTAGGTGTAGAGTGTTGGGCAAAGAGGGAAAATCAATCGAAGAGGCTATGGAGTTACATAGATTGAGATGGCTAGGTCACGTTCTGCGCATGCCTAACCATCGTCTCCCTCACCCCGAAGGGCATTACTAGCTGATATAGGTGCAGGTTGGAAAAGAGTAAGTGGTGACCAAACAAAAACATGGCATCAATCCATGAAATCCCTGACAGTTAAACTGAGTCAGGTAGGGAGATGCAGTCTTCCGGGTTGGTTGGGGCCCACCCTCGGGACTCTAAGAATCAATGGCTGGAGACAATAGGTGACATGGCTCAAAATCGTTGTCAATGGCTTACGCAGATGTATTCAGTCTCTGTAGTCTTTCATATTCCTTTCTACCATTACTCATTCTGTTTCACTCTTATACTTGTCAAAACTCTATTGATTCTCTTCACTCATCTTCTTGTCTACCTTTGTATGCTATTTGGAACGTGGCAACTCGAACTGCTGCACTTCGGTGCCAAGCTCAATGTTGAATCCAGCCAGCCTAGGTTTCGCGCTAGTTGGCACTCCATCAGTCAGCAAGGCGTATCTGCAGTCACCTTGAGGGAACTGATGTCCCTTCTGAGATTTGAACCCGTGTCACCCAGTGCTGCAGTCCAGGACGTTATCACTAAGCTATTATTCGAGCTCGCGATTGACCTCCTGTCGGTTGCCTCCAACCATGTAATATCAACAAAGTGCACCATGATGGCAAGCCACCTATAATGATGGCTACATTGCAAACTTGACTGATAGAATTCAGTCTGCACCAAAATAAAGTAATAGACGCATTACTTTTTTTTATTTTGATTACAGCTTGATTCCACACCGTATTTTCAGTACAAGTATGGAATTTTCAGCATGGATATCGGTAGCCCAAATTTCAGGCCGACCATAGATATCGGGTGTGCGCCGGCAGGGGATCGAACCCCGGACCATGTGTATGGTCCGCGAGGGTCCTAACCACTGTGCCACCGACACTAGTTACTGACTAGTATCCAATCAGAGAATTTAATACAGTCTTACAGGTCAATCATGAGCCCAAATAGCTCAATGGTAACGTCTCTAACCGCCGATGAGACTCGGTGACGCGGGTTCAAATCTCAGAAGGGATATGAGTTCCCTCAAGGTCACTACAGATACGCCCCTTACTGACTAGTGAGTGCCAACAAACACGAAACCTAGGTGTCCAAGGCTTTTTGTTGATTGCCTCTATCAGTCGAATAGAAAAGAAGTTGGATAACACTATCACAGGTTTTCATTTATTTAAATCAATCAAACTTCTTGAAGGAGCAAGATTACCTTCGACCGGCTCGTTCAAATAGATACACAATTACTTGTCAGATGCATTCATAGTCTTTCAGGTAAGTGTTATTCACTGCCTTCACGTGGCGGAAGTGTTCCTCACAAAAGTGGAAGAGTGAATGTGAATCTCTGGTGCTTAGAACCAACCAGACTGGTGAACCTGGAAAACCCTGACGCCAAACCCATAGCGTACGAACCTGTTTTGGTCACCGGAAACCATAGAGACATAACTGCTGACTATGCTCGACTGTCTTGTGGACAAGAACTCAAGTCAAGGGCTCGTGGGGTAGCACACCATTCTTCAGTATGTCGAATGGTAATTTTAAATAATACTGCAAATTTTATTTCGCCACATTTTCATTTTTGAAAAAGGACACCTTTGAAGTTGATTACCAAGACGTGAAAACATTCATCTTAATATTACATCTGCAGACGATAGTTCAATGAAGGGAAAGCCAGGGTAACAACACTGAATTGAACATATTGTGTATAACAATACACTATTTTAATTGGTGGATGGCGACTGGCAGTGGAATCTAGTAGGATGCTCATTTTGTCCTATTTGGGACTCGTCATCTGGATGTAACTGCATTTCCCAGTGAGTGAGTGAGTGAGTGAGTGATGATGTTCCCACCAAGGCTCGTACCCAGTGGTTTAGTGGATAACGCCTTGGTGTTTGAAACTATGGACACTGGGTACGAGACTCGGTGGGAACATCATCACTCACTCACTCACTGGGGGATGCAGGTATATCCAGCTGACGAATCCCAAATAGGACGAAATGCGCATCCTGGATTCCACTGCTAGTTACCATCCACCAATTAAATACTAATAACATAACTAGACATCCAGGATAACGCGCATTTCGTCGTATTTGGGACTCATCAACCGGATGTGCCTGCATTCTGCAGTGGGTGATGGTGTTCCCACCGAGGCTCTAACCCAGTACCCATAGTTTCAAACGCTAAAGCGTTATCCACTAGACCACTTGGGCCACGACAGCCACCTCTTGTGAAACGGGTCATATTAATTATTTAGGTGAATTTTAAATTTTCCCGTCGATTGATTGCACCGAAGTGCTTGGTCACCATCCACCAATTAACCTCTAATTATATGCCCAGACATCATCGAATCATCTGCACAAGAAGCCGACATGTCAACCTGAGACCAAGCACTTCAGTCCAATCAATCGACGGGAAAATGTAAAATTCAATTAAACACACTATTGACAACAAATATAGGTGTGTATTTCTACATGAACCCTCTTCAATGATCCCTGAGAATTTCTGCTACACTGATTTGACAGCAAAAAATCTACTTACATAAAATGCAATGAAATAAATTTTAACAAAGAGCATAAGTCCTAAGATCAATTATAAAATATTAAAAAAAGAAAATGAAACTAATCGTACTAAATTAGAGAAAATAAACTTACTTGCTTTTTGCTTCTAAAGTGATAATCAATTCCACTTCACCTCGAGATGCCGAACCAAGACAACTATTATAACAACTAAGTCGACAGTGTAGATATCCTTTCACTTCAGGAAGTAATGATGATTGTGATATATCTGATTCAACAGAACTAAACGGAGGCTCAGGTTTCGATTGATGCAGAAGCTGAAGAACATCAATAGACGTACAGACACTTATTTGACCAGTTGGACAATTCGGTATAGTACTGCCTATCATATATTGACAATTACCTCCAAGAATTTCTACAAATGATTTCCCCATCAGAGCTTGATTTTCAGATAGTGTTTGTGCTTCGTGTTTTTTACATCTATAAACACACACAAAGAAAACAAATGAAAGTGTACAGTCAAACAAAGAGAAAAAAATAGTTGATAGCTGATATCTTTATGGCCAGTCTTGAACAGACAAAGCTCAAGTGTGCAATTGGCGAAACAACAGTCTACTATATAGATACGTTGATGACACATTCATTGTATGCAATGATTTAAGTCACGCCTGCGTCTCTGTTAGACTCTTTCAACAATGTACACAAAAGCATCACTTTCATGATGGAGCATGAAGATGATGAAAAATTCCATTTTTTGGACGTAAAGTTGGAGAGACAATACGACGGGACACTGGAAAGATCTGTATACCGTAAAGACACATAAAGTGGTCTTTACTTGAATTTCAACAGCTTCTGCCCGGTGAGATACAAACGAACGCTGGTGAAAACGCTTTTCTCTAAAGCGAAGAGAATATGTTCACCAAACAAACTAGACAGTGAACTAATGCTTGAAAGAAAATGGTTACCCACAAGGTTTCATTAACAAATATGGCAAGAATGAACTCAAGAAGCTTGATGCTGCCACAGTTAGTAAGAAGCCTATTTTCATCAAACTCGACTACAAGGGCGACGACATTATGAGAATGATAAATAAAAGATTGAGCGCAGCGCTGTCTGGGACGTATCCTGCAGCGTTATTAGTCTCTCTATCCCGAACAACCTCTTCAATGGTGCAGTCAAAGATTGACAAGTACTCCTCACATGTTACCTCCAACTGTGTATACCAATTCATATGTATCTGCGGGAGCAGTTACATTGGAAGAACAGAGAGGAGGGCCTACGTCAGATTCTGCGGACATGTACCAAGGAGCCTCCGGTTAAAGGGACCGAAATATTTAAGGTCTTCAATCGCCAAACACCTGATTGACACAGGACACCGAGTAGATGTGCTGGAATCATTCAAAATAATTAACAGACAAAGTACCTCAAGTCTTCTCAGGTTTGCTGAAGCTATAACAATAAAACGATTTAAGCCTGACTTATGTGTCCAAAAAGAATCCGTCGTTGGACTTCAATTACCCTGGTAACTGACTTCTTAGTAACTCTCTGTTTTCTAATTTTGTTAACTTATCTTTTCACTCCACCCCTCCCTTTTATGTTTCGTTTGACTCTCTTAAGAGGTAATTTTTCTTGATCTTCTGAGTTCTGCTCACTGTATTACATCATCAACTTCTCCTCTGACCTGATGTGCACCGTAATTAAAAAAAAAATTTGATCTTCTCTTATCTAATTACGTAACTATTGCTAACTGTCTTCTGTTACCGCCCTAACAACACAATTGTTAACTAATTTTTTTCCAAGAAACTTCTCCCTACCAAGATATATATATATATTTATACATGTCGTGACACTTTAGACATCCTGCAAATCTCAATGCCTTACTTTACTATGACGCTCTGACACTATGCTTGCTAATGGACAAAGGTTTGTTAAAAAAAAGAAAATTGTACACTATCTATTTTTAATAACAAAAATTCAGGTTGTACGCAGCTGATGATGAGAACCAACGAAATAAAATGGATCCAGATTATTCTGCGCCAATGTTCAAATTTATAAAAAAAGGGAATCATTGTATGAAAAAAATAGTTCACCAACCAACCTTTGAACTACTTCATTACATCTTTCTGCATATGAAAACATTGGAGTAATTCGAATCAAGAAGTCGTAGGGTGTTACAGGCGGTCGAAAAGCAAAATTTATCGGCCAAGCACGCATAAACGTGACATAGACTTTTTGTAGTGAATTTTTTGTAATTATCTAGATGAAATATATAGTATGTATATATTTGGCAAATGCTTAGGCGCTTACTTGATAAGAAGATGAACTGCTGCGTTGTTTACTTGATGGCATGCTAGGTACCCAAGCTTTAAAAAAATATGGACCGGGAAATGGAACTCTTTCAAATGTATATGACTATGATAAACAAACAAAACAGAATAAATACCTACAAAGGGTTAAAGGATTTGTTTGAAAATTGTACAATTGGAGGCCTTGACAGAATCTAAACAAATATATATAAATATATTCATAGATTATCTCTTACCGAACTGTTCTGGACTGCTTCCTCTACATCTAATTCACTGCTGTTTTCTTTATTATCATCTACTAAGGTAAACTTCACGTCCATTAGGAGGAATTGAGTGTATATTTGAAAGCTAAAAGACAACCAAGACCAAAAAATAATAAATAAAATAGATTCGTGCTAAGTCGGCTTTAAAATAATCGATAAACACAGTATGCTGAAGAAGCAATGAACTTCTCCAAAGCCTCAGGATGGTAGGTGGTGGGTGCCTTGCGCTTCGGGTTGGCCACCCCTCCGAAAACCTCTTGAAATGCTCCCATATGACCGGGCGTCTTACATAGCCTCTCCTGAGGAAGTCATACTCACTGCCTTCACGTGGCAGAGGTGTTTTTCACCAAAGTGAGAGGGCGAAAGCGGATACCCGGCGCTCTTCACCGGGTTGACTGTCCATTGGATGGCAGTCTAGGGAAGATGGCTAAACCCTGATTCCAAACCTCCAACGACTGACGTATGAAGCTCACTGGAGCTCACCGGCAGACGTATGGACAAAGGGCTTGTTGGATGTCCTGTATGTCTGGCCCCATTCAAAAAGGCGTATGAACCGAACTCCGGTCACCGGCTGCCAATGGATAGTGGACTCCCTACTCCACTCCTACTGCCTTGTAGGTCACACTTGGTTGTGTAAAGGCTAGAGCTGCTCTCTCAAACAAAAGGCCGAGCGATTCTGGGGACATCACTCGTACCAAATTCCCATGAAACTTCATGAACTCTCTTCATCAGATCGCCGCGCCTGGGCAGCGACGATTCGAGATGTTCATGAAACCGGCTCATCCTTCCGTAGGAGATAGCCGAAGTAAAGTAAGTAGTCTAATTGAAATAGGTGTGAATAAAATAATGCCTAGAAAAACTATGCACAATAATCTCAAGTAAGGACCATGAGAAATAAACTTTTCATGAAAATAATCAACATCAGGAGACGTTAACCATCTTCTGCTTTCTACATTACTAATCATTTATCAAGAACTAGACTGCCCTATTGAATCTTTGCCTATATGCCTTCACTGCCTTAAGTGGATGAAGAAGAAATCATACATTGAAAACTATTTTAAAGTTTACAATTTCCGGACTCTATATCAAACTTACTGAGACATATTATTAGCTAATAATAATGATAATAATTTGCTTTATTCCAGAAACAGTACTAGTGGTACAGTGTGGAATTTTCAGCACATATCTACAATATTTGCATCTAATTTTATCAAACATTTTAAAGGAGTATTTCAAAAAATATATATATAGAGACACCAACAGCAAAAAAACAAAAAACACAAAATTATTTTCAAAAAGTGCGAAACATACCAAGAAGTAGAAAGGAAAATAAACAGCATATAATAATAACAACTTAGTATTGGGTAGTGGGAGCTATGATATGAATATGCATGGTGACAGTAAAGCTATAGTCATACAAGAAGTTACGAAATGATATTTAAGAAAGTTTATCGCCAAGATGATCAGTTAATTTGGTTGAAACAACTCTAAACAATCTTAAAATAACATTTCAGGATTGTTGTTTTGTTTTTTATTGTCAGGTCTAATGCAGTGTTTGTAGTGGTAGTGTGAGTAATCCTGCATAATACAAAATTTTAAGATGGTGATAATGGCGTTCACAACCAATGATTGTCAGTTAATAATGCCGAAAAGTGTAGAAAATAAAAAAAACAACCACAAAACTAATAATTACATGATGGTTAATGACAGGACAATTTTGTAATACTCACAGTGCTAATATAGTCGGAACCAGTAGATACATGAGAGAAGGAATAGAATAAAATACAAAAAAGTAAGCCAATGTTCATAATTTAGGTAGCTAAGTATGTTCAAGAAGGTGTTCACTATAGAATACAAAATAAGAGAGAAATAAAATAGCCTAAAATTATGTTATTAATAACAAAGCAAGTCATAGGTTTCACGCTTAACATTGTCTCTATCACTTAGAACACGGGCCAAATATGGTATTGTTGAGATCCTGTACTTGGTTGTACGAGCATAGATTATTTTATACTGATTTCTGGTTTTACTTGATGAGATACAAGGCGAGAGTTGGGAGTAGAGGGGGTGTTGGAGGTCGGAGAGTATGGTTTTAGACCATTTTTCGCATGTATTCAGATGCCTTTCAAGTAAATTTCTAGAATACCAAGTTTTGGAAGCGTGCGTCATACATATATATATATGTATATATATATATATATATATATATATATATATATATTTGGATGGCACTATTAGAAGACGCACGTTATCTGAAAAACAATGTGATGTATTTGCTCAATACGTTTCGAACAATCTAACCACACATATTTACTTGTCAAGTCAATTCATATGAAACATAAAGGCCAACTAAAATACACAAAGTAACAAAAAGAATTTAAGAATGATGACAATAGTCAGCACTACGTTTGGTTATATAATCAGATAAGGATAAGCAAGGTAGGTTTAGAGTAATAACAAATTTTTTTTGCACACACAGGGGGGATGGAGCTATCGCCTCAGCGTATTTCAATGACAGCCCTTGACTGTTTTAGAAAAAATAACCTTAAACGCTGCTTTGACATCAGTCTTTATTGTTCGTATCTGTTAGATGTTTAGCTATACACGAAGTTGGTAGTGTGCCACCTGTGTCTATCGATTTCCCCAAGTTCATCTGTTTTTTTAATCACTTCGGAATATGCTCTTCTACCCTCACATGCAAAGTGCGACTACTCCTTCGTATGTATGTGCGTCCACATAGATGTAATACTATCAATTGTGCACTTTAAAGGTTCGTAGTGGAGCATATTTTTGGCTTTTCCATACATATAATATCCAAAAAAACACAGAACCTAAATATGACCGATTTTTCGATTGGCGGCTAATGTAATGAGTATACACAACGTATCCCTCTAATCAGTACGGTCGGTCGGTTTTCGACATAGAACTTTGCACATATGTGCAGCAGTTCAAGTCGCCACACCCCATGTAGCACACAAAGCAAAAGAAAGTAGGAGAAATGCATATTAGAGACAGTAAACAGAGGTGTGAGACAAAGGAATAGTAATAATGAAGAACAAAACAGTTTCATTGGAAATCATAAGTCACAAGGAGTGGATGCATCTGCGCCACTGAGAACGATCACTTTGAGCCATGTCACCAATTGTTTCCAACCGTTGGTTTTTACCGTCCCGAGGACCCCAACCAGTCAGGAAGTCCACACCTTCCTACGTGGCTTAGACTAACTGTTGTGGATTTCATTGACTGGTGCCATGTTTTGGTTTGACTGCCGCTAGCTCTTTTCCAGCCTGGCCCTATATCAGCTAACATTGCCTGTCGGTCGAGGAAGGCGATGACTAGGCATACGTAGCACATGTCCTAACCATCTCAGTCGATGTAATTTCTCAGTCTCGTCGACTGATTTCCCTTCCTTACCTAGCAGTCGACGCCCAAGCTCACTACTGCTCACCTTATGATACCACTTCACACGGGAGATAGAATGCAGACACCTATGATCAAAGGCAGCTAATCTTTTCATGTCTTCCACTCTCAATGGCCAGATCTCACAGCTAGTCATAAAGGAGGACGGAGCGGACTGATGAGCAGTACACACGCCCTTTGGTCGATAGTTGGATATCACGTCTACGCCAGAGACGGCGTAAACTGGCATATTCGAAACTAGCCCTCTGCATTCGCGCTGAGATTTCGTCAGAGATCAACCAGTTGGGGCTGATGGTACTTCCCAAGTAAGTGAAGCGGTCAACGTGCTCTACCACTTCACTTCCTATTTCTAATCTAGGGGTCGGGGAAGTCCAATCCTGCAGCATCATCTTACATTTTACAGGGGCGAATCGAATGCCAAACATACGAAGATTGTTGCTCAAGGTGTTCAGTAGACTCTGCATTTTGTCAGCGTCCTCACCTAGAAGGACTATATCGTTCGCATATTCTAAGTCGACGAGATTATTCCCTGGTAGCAAGTCAGTCCCTGAGTCGCTGAAGTGTGTTAGGGTTAAGTCCATTAGTACGTCTAATCAGTACTCCTAATTTTAGATATCTGGACAAACTACTAAGTTTATAGTCGGGATGTAATTCAACCACTTTTATTCTGTTTATATCTGGAAACAAATCTGAATCCAAGATACCACTTACAGAGATTTCCTAACAGTCAGTGATAACATCAGTCAAGAGCAGTGAGATTAATACAAAAAAGGTTGCAGCATTCTATTACTATTAAACTATGCAGTTTACCCAGTTATGAGAAATGCTTTTATAGAAACAAATATAGTCTCATAGAAATGCGCAGATAAAAGAAAATCTTCCAAAAAACGCTGACATGAAATACGATTACAGTTAGCATTTATAATATACAATACCATACATAACACAAATTCTCAGAGATGATTTACAAGAAGAGTAGAATGTAAGGTGGAGCTTACTACTTGACTAATCGAGTAATTTAAGCCAGCTCCAGTGAGAATGCCACTATTGAAGACTCATTCAAAGCGTTTATACTTCATGTTGACTTCAAAGATTTAGTAAACAAGGGTTTAACGGTACGATAGTGGATCCCAAAATTTTAACTAAAAACGAGACATTTCAAGATAGATCGGGTGATAGCAAATAAAACCAATTTTTGAAGCTGCTTACAAACTACTAAAACAAGTATGAAACATGATGGGTGCACAAGTGCATATGTAAAATACGTCACATGATATTTTTCATTGAGTACTGATACTTACAAATAAAATAGAATATACATTCATATCCTTTAAAACGTGACTTATCATCCGCACCCAAGAAAGTACTGTACATGAGCCTGGAATTCAAAGGTGACTTAGCTTCCGATATCATGAAAAGAAGGATATCACAGTCCCTGAAAAAAACATTCCCTGCTGCCTCTCTGAGAATAGCCTTTACTAGTCGACCATTACTGTTCAATAACCTGAAGGACAAGATCCCGCTGTTGACCAACTCTGTGGGTTTATCAATTCATCTGCTGATGTGGAGCTAAGTATATCAGTCGCTCGACTCGAGTTTTATCCAAGAGGGTGCAAGGACCCTATCGTGCATAGTTATTAAGAGGTGAAAGTGGAGCAACAAGAAGGTCGATCATTGAACAACAGGCTGATAGTGATCACCCTATCTCTATAGCCTCCGCCTTTAAAGTTATCTAAGAGGCGAAGAGTAATTTACCGAAGTCACTACATACCCGACTCATCTGTATTGATGAAGCTATGGCTATCGAAACAGAAAAGCCAGATCTCTATGTACAGAAAAAGCTCGTTCAACCCCTCCAACTTTCATGGTCTTAATCCCTCTATGCTAAAGTATGGTAATCCCCAACCATATATTGGCTCTACCAATTTTTTCATTTCGTCTATTACAGTTTGCATACTTTTCCTTTATTACGTCAATTGTTACTATTACTATTCCCACTTTGAACTGTCCCCGGTATTATTTCATTCTAAATCAATTCTTCTTTTTTACAACGTTAAATTCTATGCTATTAAATTTCACACAATATTACGTAACGGTTTTATTTTATTCGATTTGTCTACTAATCCTATAATTGCACACCTTTTTTCAAGTTCTATGCATCCTATGAATTATTCTATATATGACATTAATTTGCTTTGCCACTTGACATTTAACTATGATTATAATCACAAACATTCTAGTTTTAATTGCATTTCATACTATTATTATTTTATGCATTCACACCTTTGATTCAATTTCCCTATCGGATATAACTTCTTAAAAACCATATCAATACGATTGTACAGCTTGATGATAAATTCGTTGAAAGGAGTCTCTTCGCTGAATCATTTGTTTTGATTTTCTAAATGTTACAATGGGAATTTTCCATGAGTTAGAAAATAGATTTTACATTTTATCCGTTGCTTCTAAGCCAGTCTGTTGACGAGTAAAGATCTAAAAGACACACTTCCATCTAGAGCCGTAATTTGCCATTTTTTTTTTTTGAATTTCTTATCTACAATGTTGAGTCAATCAATACTTCTATATGGGTCAAAAACTCGGATGTACGCGTTACGAAAAGTATTTCCAACAGGCCACTGTAGACTTTTTATCAACAGCTGCCTTCACCATCTCCATACTGAAGATCAGATGGCCGGCTGGGCAGAAAGAACTGGCAACAACAAACTCTAGGGGCGAACCAATCAAGAACCTATTGTTTAACAAATATGACGAGGGAAATGGAGATGGATAATACACACCTTGAAGAGACAGTCGGGTGACATCGCACTCAATGCAGGTCATCGTTTGAGTGGAACCCGAGTTTGGCGTTCATGAGTGACATGGAGGAGGAGATTAGATGCTATAAGCAATCGTGGGGGGGGGGGGCAGCTAAAGATGACTGCAGAAAACAGGAAAAAAATGGAGATATGCTGTTGAAGCACTATTTTCCATTCAGAACATTAGGGAACAATAATAATGTCAGTATCATCTTTGCATTGTAATGAATGCTAGTGTTAGACATTCTCATAAACAAGGGCGGTTAGCATCCTACACAAAGTGTATCGGAAATACATCGGATTTCCATGCTTATTCATTCAGTAAGATCAATGCTGGATGGTGGACATTTAAGATGTTGCATATCCTATGTAGTACCTCACCCTGTCAGTGAATTGATGATTTTTGATTATAATATTCGCATTTACTATTCTTTCTTGTATTGCTCTGAGATTCACTTGCATTATGCACTAACGCTTATTAGGTGAACTCAGTTCACGTTTATGTTGCTTACGCTGCTGCCTGAGACGAGAAAAACACCAAAGTTTAATTACCGATTCAGGTGAAACTACTGAGACACATTATCCTTCATTCACTTTTCATCTGAAACTATCAGATATTGTTAGTACTGTTTCTATAACAGACGATATGAAGTTAAATTATGTTAGGATGAAAACAGTCAACTTCTTGATTTGAAGGCGGCATTCGACACTGACAATCAACAAATTTCACAGCAAATTTTCGTTGAAAAGGACGCCTTTGTTTTCATTATTATTAGTAGTACTCGACAACATTCAGTAAAGCTATTTTCATTTTTTGGTCACAGGATTTCATCATGAGCTGACATTGGTTAGAAAACCATTGGAAAACCTAGGAGTATTGGACAGCTGTTTCATCCTAGTTTGAGACTCTTCAACAGAGCTTGCCTTGTAACCAGGTCCTGGGTTCGAACCCCGATGGGCGCGTGCTTATGAAGAGTCCCAAACTAGGACGAAACAGTTGACCAGTACTCCCAGGTTTTCCAATGGTTCTGTAACCGATGTCAGCTCATGATCGAATCCTGTAACCAATCAATCAAATCACTACAAACCGATACTTGAATATTTTCATTTTACTGTCATCAGCATATTGCTCAGGGTAGCAATTTAGACAACTGGGAAGCAGACTTAAGTGATGATATAGGCTGTAGTTAGTTGAGGTATGGATACAGAGAACAAAGAAAAAAACGTAAAATCTTCTCAACTTCAAAAGCTCCAGCCTGATGTCGACAGCGTCCCTCAGTAGAGAAACACTGGATTCAACAGCTGATATTGGCGATGCAGTAATTTGAGTATACGTGAGAGTTTTCGGCAGTAATACTAAGTAATGTACAAAAACTTGATGTTAGAATAAACTGCATATAACATTGAGATTGTAAGTTAAAGTCAGTGTTTGAAATAAATAGAGGTAGTCAAGAAGTTGTGGTACAACTACATTGCTCCACGAGTTGATATGAAACCTATGCCATAAGGTATTTTAAAGTGTACTTATTTAGGTCTTACAAATCGTACTCCCCGGGGGAAAGAACTGTCCGTTATCATGCGACTAAAGGACTTAGTAATTATTGTCGGACATGATTTGAAAGCAACTGCATATTGTAATGCAGCAACAGCTTAGGATTTTCGAATGATATAGGCACTTCGAATGGATTTCAGACGATTAGATGAGTCTGTGTTCAAAGTACTCCACGTACCATATGTCAGGCCCCATCTAGAATACTGTATACAAGCGACTAGTTTATGCTTTAAGAATTAGGAACATATCTTGGAAAGAGTACAAAGAATAGGAACCAAATTAGTCAGCGTTATCACACACCTTCCTCATGAAAAGATGGAACACTTAAATCTTTCTTCATTACAGTGCCAAAGGAGGAGAGGTGATTTCGGGATTGACCTTTCTAACCTAGGATACCTTTGCGAGGTCGTCACAAAAAAGTGCTCGAACTGCGAACAAATAAAGTACGTGTAGAATTCGGATTCTCACAGGGTGGTCAACACCTATAACTGCCTACCCGATCAAACAGTATCACCTCCATCGGTGAACACTTTCAAAGAGAAATTAGATCTTTGCACAGATACACATATTGCAAGGATTAACACAGGCTAAAAGAGCCTATTATCCTTTATCATATGAATCTGAATCTAAAATTGCGTTCGTAAACAGAGATCTCCAGTACTATTAGAATAGCTAGAAATACAGTAGACGGGCTAACCTTCTTTAGATTATTTACCAGAGTACATAATACAGATATATTGCTGGTTAATTGAGGGAAAACATAGGATCGACAACAACCTGTATAGTCCGCTATACGATTAGTTCCCTAACATATATATCACAAGTCAACGGCTTTTGAAGTATACTTCTTTGGGTAAGTCAATATACTTCGAAAATTGCTCTATCTCAGAAAGGACTTTAATAATCCGAAACAACTACTAGGACTTACCTGAGAACATTGCACCGTGCTTTTGATTACCATAAAACATGATGATAATTGCATAAAAAGAGGACAATGGATAATGGAGAAAGTCAAAATATCTTATTATTGTCATGCTATAGGAGGAGAGGCAACCTTGATAGGAATATCGTACATAAGGATAACTCAGTATCGGTCTCCAATCTTAAATTCAAGATTTCTCTGAGGTTGCTACGAAAATGTATGTAAACCTCAGTCAAATAAGCCACGGGTGGTTCGCGACTCGGGCACATAGCCGGATCTGAAGTGATCAGTTGTCTTCATACATCCTCTTAAGGGGAAGCTACATCTCCACGAAGAGACATATTGCGACTATAAACATAGGTCATTTCAAACCTGGACACTTCAATAATTGGCAAAATCCTCTGGACAGAATATAATAGTTTTGATTAGAAACTCAAGGTCTGTGGTTGGATCAGTCGGGGAGGATGCTTTAGTTACACTCCGCCCTAACTACATGCCATCATCAAGCGGGCTAACTAGGACGACGAACGAAACAGCAATCTTTAACTGATAAGTCAGAATAAACGTCAACAGCCTGCTAAAGATTAGATTTTCAATGTTATGTCAATGGAATACACCGAAAATCAAAGATTTTACAATTTTCCTGCAATTACTAACCAGTAACGCATATGGGAACAGCATATACATGCCTATACACTGAAACTGACAACACAACAGCCTTTTACGGAGAACTGAATGCTTTTTAAATTATAAGAATAAAACCGTTAGGCATAAATAATCAATATTTAGTCACAAAAGTTTGGAAGATTTCCTCAGATTAATTTGATGAATCCACGGCTCAGGAGCCGTGGATTTGCGTTCACTCATGTGGGCAAAACAAAGTAACATTTCAAAAGATAAAAACCAAAATATATAGAAAGGACACATGTAGTATAGGTCAATGCGAGTACGGATAGATGTACGAACCCACTTGATTAAGCTGGCAACTTTAAATTCCCACACTTTTCATAGTCTCCAGAACATTGTCATTTCGATGCAGTATAACACTGAAAAGGTGCAAACAATGTCCTCACCTATAAACGACTCATCAAAATCTATGAGAATGGAACGTTGGGGTTTTTCCCATTGAAGTTATTGGTTAGTTAAGTCAGATAAGTATGACTTACAACAGTTCTTGATAAATATATCTCACTAGAGTTACTCATACTGAGCTGGACTTATTCGTCACGTTGGTTGAAATTTAGCTTGGTAAATATTTTGTCAATAATTTTTAGAAAAATTATGTTGTATGTTTTCTGGATTGATGGGAATTCTCATTTCCTGACTATTTATGTTGGTGTCCGCGGCATGTGATCTGACTGCGACACACCCTTAGCATATTGGCTGCAATGATTAGTCAATACTGACAGATCAATCAGTTAGGAAATCGCAAAATCTCTCGCAACTCAGCATAGTGAAGTCTGTTTCTGTAAAAAAGATAAACGATATAACTAATATGCAATATCTTTTCTACAGGCTTGTATAAACCTTATTGACTTCCCGATGATTACTTCCTGGTGTTTTGAGACGATTATAGGTCTGGAGTATTCCAATTTAATCAATCACCTTGGGTTTGCTGAACGCCATAACAGAAGACGCTTGCCTTATTCGCTATCGAATCAATGGTGCTACTGGAATCAATGGATTTCGTTTCATCAGACAATTCTCCATCAAGATTGACAAACAATCAATGACAGTAACAGTGGTGAGGAAATCTGGGCAATGGGTTGGACAGTAGGGTTGCATTCAGGACAGGTTATCCAACGGGAGTATATACACATACAAAATAGCTGAAAAAACAGAACGAGGTTAGTAGGAATAGAAACAATGATAAAGGTAAAAAGTGAATAGTGAGGCATTCAAAGACGTGTGGCAGTAGATTATTCCTCAAAATTATTAGCCACAGCATTCGTCACTAAACACTGGATACTGACACTCACTTTTTAAGTCGGATTTCTTAGCTGAAGGCTCGCTGTCGTTCGGCATCGTTTGCCACGCTGTCATCTTACGACCGGTCGTTCGTACACGATCCCTAGCTAGTTAAGCAGTCACGATCGCACCACGATTTTGAATTCCGAAATATACTTCGCTTTTTGGACGATCAGTTTGACGTTTTACCTAGTCTTTGGTCTGTAGGAGTTGTGGGTATAAGATCTTGCGTGAGTATACATCGTACTGCCGGTGAACTTCAACACCCTCAGCCTCTAAAGACGTGTTAAGATAACTGGCATGTTTGTAATACTAGCATAGACCCGCAGAACTAGTCTACTAACCTTATAGATACATGCAAACCTACTGCTTTTTCTTGATGATCTGGCCCGCTCTTGGAGCTATCGACTGATGGAGCAGCTGGTAGACAGTATCGCAATGAATTTTATAGGTGGCAAACAATGAAGAAAATAGGGTTCGCTCTTATCTTTGTTGCTGCGCCTCAATGAGCGATTATGTCAAAGTGACCACAGAGGATACCATAGTGCTCTTCTAGCACTGCCTCAGATATGCGTTGTACTGCGGACTATTTTGTGTGCCTTGACATGGTCACCCCAGATTCTGAAGTGGTCAAGGGTATACAGACCTGACTGTCGTGACAGATTTCAATGTAATCAGCAAGGAAACACAATACAAAAGGGGAACATATTTCGTCGTGCATCTTACTTAAGTGTGGAAAATAAGTTTTCAGTGTTAGTCCACACTGAATTTATGTCTGGTGACTTCGCCTATTCGAACTAGTTTTACTTTGGTTGGGGACGATAATGCCTGTGGTAACTCTGATGTTTACCACAGCACTGAGACCAGAAGCACTGATGTCTGTTATATTGGCGTTTATTTGTAGACTTTTCCTAGTGTATTTATAGTAACCAGCTGTGAATTTGATGATCAGACTGCTGTTTAGTTAATTTGGCTGTATTGGTTTATCGTTACTTAAGCATTAAATCCTCGACTTTTCTGTCTTTCTTTTGATAACCATCGTAAAGAAGTTCAGTTGGTTATTAAGTGCTTAAATGGTATTCTGGGCTCTGGAATGCTGGATCCTGTCAACACCAATAATTATCTATAGCATTAGTGGCAATTCTGCAACTGCTCATTTGACACAATTCTTCGAACAACCAACTTTCCACATAACTCAATTAATTCGCTTTCGGGATAAGAAACGAACGACAACTAAATTCCCATGTGAAAGAGAACGCCAATTTGATATTCTTGGAAGGATGCCGCAGAAAACGCTTAAAAAACTTACAGTAAATGTCAAGATGAAAAGAATCCTTTAACGGAAACTCAAGTCGATGCGTCGGTGGCACAGCAATTAGGACGCTCGCCAACCATGTGCATCGTCCGGAGTTCGATCTCCTTCCGACACACACCTGATATTAATGGTCGGCGTGCGAAATTTGGACTACTGATATCACATTCCGAAAATTCCATATTTGTACCAGAATGCTGTATGGAATCAGGCTATAATAAAAAAGGTTAATTACCCGACGTTCTTGAACTCAAGGCATAGAATTATCCCAAGTTGTGACCAAATGTACCCTAGTGACAACTTATACGCAACATATTTATCTTTGTAGCTTTTTAAGTTCTCGCAAACCATAGACAATTAGTGCACATGTATCATACTATATCGGAAATTCCAATGAATCTTCATAAATATGAGCCGGTAGAAAAATATTTGGAAATAACCAGAAAACAGTAAGTATAAGTGCAGATTGTTTACCTATACAAAAGTGGTGTTAAAAAATCCATTTTTGATGCTCCCGAGTTCATACAGACCACCAGTTGAGGCGAGCAAACTTTTCTTACTAGTTGTAGCACTAGAAGCACAGCAACTGCGAATATTCCTACACAGTTCATGGAGTAAGTTACGTCCAAACAATGCAAGCGCCGAAACTTACAAGACAACAAGTAATTTTTTATTTTGATTACAGCTTGATTCCACACCGTATTTTCAGTAAAAGTACGGAATTTTCAGCATGGATATCGGTAGCCCAAATTTTGCAGGCCGACCATAGATATCGGGTGTGCGCCGGCAGGGGGTCGAACCCCGGACCATGTGCATGGTTGGCGAGAGTCCTAACCACTGTGCCATCATCGAACAAAGCTTCCAACAGAGTATAACGAATCATCTAAATATGCGCCTTTCACGATCAAAATACAATCGACTTGACTTCATGATGCAGAGATGCAAAGTAGCGTTGGAAACCACCGTTCTAAGCCCCTGGGTTCCAAAAGCACAAAAATTTTCTTTGACAACCACAAATTTAGGTTGAAAGCGTCTACGAAAGAAAGTCTGTTAATATCCACGTCTAACTACATTGGACAGTATCATCCAACCCGGGCTCACAACCATCCTCTTCTAAACGGGAGCTGATTTTTATGAACTTTCTTTTTCAGCGGACGGGTAATCTCTTAGCGATTGCCTCAAGAGCAGAGCTTGAGTTCAACTCATCCATACAGTTAAGATAAACGAGAATATTTATGTACACCATTAAATTATCCAAAAACTCTGCGAGTTCCTTGGAGTTATCACTTAGATGCGCCCCATTATCTTTAACGGTTTCAAAAACACTACGGGATATCATAAATGGCCTCCCAAACTTTTGAATTAGTATCCTCATAGCCTCAGTGTATCCTTCGTTTGGGAGCACTGTATAGCTCTTGCAGCGATTTCAGTGCAATACCTCAACAGATACATCAGCTTCATCTCGTCATTTATTACAAAACCACTCAACATGACTTCAAACTCCTTTACAAACTGTGGATAGTCAGCCGGATTTCCGCCAAAATACTTATATATATTTATTCCTGTTTATGCAGGAACATACCAATTGTACAGGCATGGATAAGTTATTATATAAATTACAGTTTGTTTTTTCAATCTAACATTAGAGTCAGTCAGAACAGTCTGCAAAATAGTCTGTCTGTGTAACACATAAAGAGATATAGAAATATTGTCTTCGCATTAACAAAAAACCCAGACTTCAGATGAGTGTGATACAAATATCTGGGAAAAATAAAGCTTGAAGTCAATTCTCCTATAAAACTTTGTTGTGAACAGCATCCGTGAGATAAAGTTTATTGATGTATTATTTTGATTCAATAATGTATTTATTCCATTTTTGTCAGCAGTCTTATCGTAGCTTTATAATAGGAAAGAAATTTGATCTTTGATACGAAAGTTAGATAAGGTAGTGTTAGATTGTTTTACTGCATCAAATGGGGTCAATTCTAGAACTATCCATTTGCGCCATTTGCGTCAGCATGGCAGACTGTACATGTAAGTTGAGTAATACATTGATAACTGTTTGAAAACCAGTTGTTTCTTTATTTCAGATCAAGAATACTCCTTGTACAGAATGTTAGCCAGCGTTTTCAAGTGGTTGCATCGGATCGTTCATGGAATTTGAGTTTGAATTTACATAAACGGTCATTTCAGTTTGGGTGTTGGGTTGTTCGACCTCAACCAGGAGGTATATAGAAGTTTACGCTCAGCAGGGAGATAAAGTATGTAAATATGAAGAGAACTTTATTATTTTATGTACATATAAATGTTTATAAATGTATATCATTGTATAGTAAACACTACCCATAATCTTGTTGTTTTTTATGTAATTTTGCGAAGTCTTAGAGTTTATTTAGTGTCGTAATATTTAGTAATGAGTCTAGGCGTTATAGTGTGCTAATAGCTCATGCGTTTTGGAAATAAGTGGTGCGGTGTGATTGGCATAGTCATTGGGATGAAGCAGTTTATATAGCAAGCGTTTGAAGGTTATGATAGAGTGACAGGTCCTTATTTCTTGGGGTAAACTGTTCCAGATCTTGGAGTACATGACTATGAAGAAGTTTGCACGGAGTGCTGTTTCACAGTTTTTCCTAGATACTTTGCACGTTTGGTTACGAAGGTTGTAAGAGCCTTCCGGTGAGAACTGTATCTCTTTGCTGTCTGAGAATGATATTTTATGCAATATTTTAAAGAAGAATGTTAGGTTAATGCTC